TACATATTTATATATCATTTAATAAGCATATTTTATTTTGTTAATTTCACCAAATTATATTGACAATTTGTAATCCCTTGACATGGTATTTTCTCATAGCATTACTCGGACATAATATTACAGTCATTTTTAAAACAATGGTTTAATAAAGAAATTGCTTGATGCAATAACATTTGTTACAGACATTAACAAATGTTTTAGCCTACAGCAATTATGAAATGTTATAGGTATTAGTTACTTGGCTTTGTAGCCCATAAATATAAATCTATGTGCTATAGTATATTACCTTATTAAATAATTGTAGGATTCTTAAATATTATATATAATTTATCATACAATTTAAAATCGTCTCTCAATTCCGACAAATATTTTTGACGGAAACTCAAACCGTATATCACTTTCGGAGTCGAGCGATACATTTGGACGTTGGGGTATTGGCAAGAATCGATACTTTCGGATAACGTGCGCCAAACACAACTTAGTAATAACCAGGGCGTATTTATTACCAGGACATATTAGGGGACCTAATCCAAATGGGAAATATGTGTGCGAGCTTATTTTTCCTACATTCTCTGCCATAAATCTTTCGGGATTAAAAATTAATGGATTTTCATAGATATCGCTGGAATAATGGATAGCATAGGTTGGTATATGAACAAGTTGCCCTGCATCAATTGTAAGGTCTGAATTAGCAAATGTGTATTTAGTACTGGATATTCTCTTAAGTATGTGAGCAGGTGGGTGTAGGCGCAATGTTTCCGATACAATACCGTGCAAATATGCCAATCCTACTATTCTTTCAAAATCTGTCTCATCACCTTGATTATCTACTTCACAATTTTCAATATCTTGAAATAACTGTTCTTGAACATCAGGATTGTGTGCCAATTCGTGCGAACAAAATGCTAATGTGCTAGCGATTGGATCGTAGCCACCCACAAAACTCAACATGGCTAAACCAATTAGCTTGTTCTCTGGTGAGTTTGTATCGGATAAATCTACTTTACAGTCGTTCATGTCTGAAATTATTGATTTGTCTGCAATGTGATAATAAACCAGTTAAATTGCAATTATCATTAATATTAATTAAATTATATGGCAATTAATTAGTCACAATTTTAAATTCTTACCTATATTCATTTGGTGAATATCACCATGTTCATTTGTATTACCATTAATACCAGCTTTCCTATTCATATCGCCATCAAAAATCCATTTTAAATATCCCTCATTCATTAAATCAGTATTACCATTATATAAAGCTAATCTATCGCGTATACGCTCAATAAAAAACTTAACAGGCGATTTATTTTCCAAACCAAACCAGTTTCGAAACCGTTCTGGCAAAATACTCAGGGCCAATTCACGCTTAATACTCCTACCGAGAAAAGCATTGGCATTTGCCATAAAAGGGTTATGAGCGGCACCGGGACCATAACAGTTAGTATGCGTGTCAAACACCGTGGTTACTATGACGTCCATCATAAACGACAAATAAAGTGCTTTGACATCCAGGCTCTTTTTGATACAATTTATTGCCATTTCATCCATCAAACGACTGATGCATTCCTTATACATGGGATATAGTCTCCTGGTTTTTGTGGTGCTATACATGGGTGCGTACATCGACCTAACGGTGCGCCAATTGGGTTGGTTGTGAAATAGCATAAGCATTGACTGCACGTATTGGACGGCATCCCGATTGCCTGAGCGCTGCGAGAATACATGAAAGTCGGTAACTAATATTGATTTGACTAGATCTGGGTCACTTATGTCCAATATTGGTCTATTGCCCGAGTAATGCCTTCATTAAAAAAATTTAAAAATAAAAGT